TCAAAGCATCTGCAGTGTCATTTGCCAGGACCCTGCAGAGGCAGGAGGTGATAAGCCCTGCTGGGCCCTGGTACATCATTCACAGCTACAAGCTTTGGGATCATCTTCCTTGAATGTTTGCTGTTCTTTGCGTTGGACGGGTCCCTTCCAAGACGATTCTGACAATGCTGAGCCTAGGTCGCCATAACTGAGGGCCCTGGGGCGAGCCCCAACCCTGTGCAGAAGAGGGCTGTGCACCTCCCTTCCCGAGAGGCGTCGCCCACGGTGTCCAGAGCTGTGCCCCAAGGAGGCAAACCCAGCGGACTGGGACATGGACCCCACTGAACGGGAAGTTAACACTCTCTCATCGCAGGCACCTGTCTTATGAATCAGACTGTGTGACATGCCGCAGAGGAATTGTTATGAGTTCAAAAACTTGCTTGGAACGTGCCCTGCTCTCGAGTCCGTGTGCACACTGCTGGGTTTCTGGCGGCTGCGCTTGCCGTAACCCCTTCCTATCTCAAGATGGAAGTACAATTGCATTGCCTCAGCCTTGCTAATCACAGTGGCTCTCTGATCTTTGCCATTTCTGCCTCAGCTTCTCCTTCACCCACTTACTGTAAGAGATTGCCACCAGCGGCTTTTGTGGTCCACTTTCTAAGGCTGGTTTGTTAAGAAAAAGGCCAAAAAGCAGAGGTCAGGGGTGCCTGCCCTCAGAAAATTGTTCACCTTGTTTTCAGTGTGAGGAGAATGACTTCCCATGCCTCTGCCTCTCTCTCGAGCTGGCCAGGGACTAAGAAGAGTTACTTTTAAAAGAAGGGAGCTGTTGAAGATGAGTTTCATGTTAGGGCCTCAGGACTTTGTTAGTGAGTGTGTTTACTTTGTTTTAAAAAACTGTTTCTGTGTCCATGCAAAACAGGCCATTTGATTAATCCTCATCTTAATCTGCCAAAGGCACCACAGAAGAAAGGCCTGGTGATCTACGTCCAACAAATCAGCCATTAAAAACCTATGGAGTACAGTTCTACTCTGACATATGTGGAGGTCACCATGAGTCAGAGTCGACTCCATGGCAACTGTGTTTTTTTTTTTAGTCTCCAAGAAGCAGCGCCCTCGGAGGACAACAGCTGGCTTACCCGTGTGGTTCGGCGAAGAGCACAGAGGACAAACAACGTACTAGAAGTCGAGTATTTGCAGCTGACGCCTACCAGAACCTGTCTCCAGCATCTGAGTGCTTCTGGAGCACTGCCACATTCTGGTGGAAGCACACTCTGGAAACAAAGGGGACGACAGGCTTGGCGCTCCTCACCATCACGTTCAAGAATTCCCCTCTGTGGGGAGAAGATCAGCCTCCCTCTGGCCACCTGAGCTGTCCTAGGCCGAAACCTGCTCACGCTCGATCAAGTTTGACTGAGTGTGGACAGCTCCCTTCCAAGTTCACATGCAGGAGAGAGAGAGATTTATCTTTTCTTAGCTTCAGAGCAGTAAAGACCCTCTACCTCTCGGTCTGTCAGAGTGTAGAGGGAATGTGGTAGGAGGAAGAAACCCACATTTAGTGTAAAGATGTTGCCTTGAATGCATATACAGGTAGACCGGATCTGTTGAAAACGGGACACCACCATCTTCTGTGGAAAACAGCTTTATGGAGCACGATGACACCTGCGCATTCCGGAACTCAGTGTGGCTTGCTTCATACCCTGGGTGAAGCTGGGGCCCCTCTGACACCTCTGCTTTCTCCCTATACCCACTAACTCACATCAACAAAACACAAACCCAACTTCAGGACACGTCACCCTCCCGGCACATCAATGTGGTGTCATCGATCCGTGTCCAGAGTTTTACTGGGGTTTCATTAAGTGAACATGATCGATTGCATCATTGGCCACGTCCTGGAACTCCATGTCCAGCCCCCTCCCCTCCTCCGAGGTGGGCTGTTGTCACTGGTGGGTCTTTCCGGTATGGCCGGCTCTCGTCCGGAATTAGCTCATTAGCATAAATCCTCAGCTGTGGTTGGGGCCCCCCCATGAGTAACCAGGAAAGTCAGTCAGCCAAGAAATCTAGGATGCTTTGAGGTTACCTCCTAGCAATTGGAGACAAAGGCCAAATTCTTTGGTTAAATTTCATTCTTCACCCCAGCAATACTCTTGGCTTTCTGTTGCCTTGTGGTTCCTGACTGGCAATGCAATACAAAGAATAAATAATAACGATGATAATAACAGAAGCTAACATTTAGTGAACACTTACAATGTGCCAGGCACTGCTCAAAGTGCTTTATGTGTATTGACCCATTCCATCCTTTCCACAACCCCAACGAGGTTTGGCTCACATTGCCTCGAGACACACAGCTGGTAAATGAGGCTGAACTTCAGACCCACATCTTCTCTCCTCGAAGCTGGACATGTTCACCCACTGTGCTCTGGAATGAAAGGTAGACTGTGCTGCCCACAAGCTCCCAGACTAGTTGGGGAAAAGAAAGTGCTGAAGTCAGAGCTTTAAGATGCTTGGCAGACCGTTTGGAAGCCAAAGCTGTGTGAGCCATGAGCTGCAGAAGCATTGCGGGTCGACTGGCAGAAAGCCTCTGCGGGTTTCCACAGAGGCATCCACAGAGATGCAGAAATGACAGGGCCGGTGGCGGGAAGGGTGGCTGTGCGAAATAACATGGGGCCACGATGGTCAAAAGACCAAAAATAAAACCGAGCGAAACTTCTCCTGGGACATAAATCTGCCCTAGACAGGCGAGGCAGAGGAAAAGAAAGGGCACATCCATTTTCAAGGCTACACAGGTGCCTCTGAATCAAAGTCAATAATTGTTCAAGGACAAGGGCAATGATAAACGATCGGGAGATGACCTGTATTTCTAGACAAGGTGGGTGGTGCTGGGCACAACAGCAGATGATCCCAATGTCATATAGGAACGAGACTGGTCTCCTTCTGCAGGGGGGCAAACTGGTGCACACACCCGCTCTTCACCCCTCACTGACAGGGGCAATTTGCCTTCTGTGCTCTGAATCCCAGAAGGGATCAACTGTAATTCCAAAGGGAGGTCCTACCCTCTGCTCTCTGATTGTTGCTAATTTATAGAAAAAGGGTAGTGGTAGACTCACTAAAACACCGTCCGTCAATTTGTTGTACTGCGGTGGCTTGTGTGTTGCTATGATGCTGGAAGCTATTCCACCAGTACTTCAAATACCTGCAGGGTCACCCATGGTGGACAGTTTTCAGTGGAGCTTTCAGATTCAGACAGACTAGAAATAAAGGCCTGGTGAACTAGTTCTGCAAATTAGCCAACGGAAACCCTATGGATCACAACAGAATAGTGTCTGGTATAGTACTGGAAGATAAGCCTCCTAGGTTGGAACACACTCAAAATGTACGATAGTTCCAACAGTGGACTCAAGCACATCAATGATTGTGAAGATGGCACGAGACTAGGCAATGCCTCATTCTGCTGAATGTGGGGTTGCCATGAGCTGGAGCTGGTTTATTAGCAGCTAACGACAACCAGACTCACAAAAAGCTTGTTCCACGCAGCAGAGGCTGAAGCATGTGCTCGTGTGCCCCCACCAAGGTGGTGTTGAATGAGTCCAGAGTGGTAATACTCCTAACCCATACACTTGCAACTAGCAGGAAGCTGGGGCCTAGAACCTCAGCCTACCAGGCCTGTTCCTTGGTGCTACACTCAAAGCCACAGGAACAAAAAAAATACACGGAAAACAACTGAAGCCTTCGCCGAAATCTCTTCAGTTCCATCTGTGCTTCTCAACAACTGCTTCTCAAAATCTCTTAAAACATCACACCCATGATAGTTGCTCAAACACTTTATATATAGTGCTCCTACTTTCAACCTTCCTCAAATTTTATGAAATGTAATCCACGAAATCCTCACCCCTCCCAATTTAATTTTCTCTTTTCTGTAACTCTGTCCTTGCTAATGTCCTCCAAGCTAGTAGCCCCAGCTAGTCCAATTCCTGACCATATACCCATTTTACTGATCCCGGTAATTAAGGCCCAGAAGCAAAGGCTCCAACACGTTCTCATTTAGGGTAGGGGTGAAGGATCAGGGGTATGGAATGCATTTCTAGGCTCTCCTGGGGTTGGACTTGGACCACTATACTACTAGGGAATTTTCTTTTTCTCTCCCCAAATAAGATTAAAGGACTTTGGCCTAATATCCTTTAAGTATAAACTACTTATTTTAGACCTTGCTCAAATCCTTAACGTATCTTGGCCTTGAACAAAACTGACTCTGCCTCTCTAAAGCAAAGATGAAAGGGTAAGGGAACAGGGAAACCAGATTACTGGAAGCGAAACATCCAGAAGGGAATTAATGAGAATGTTGAATGTTAACACATTGTGAAAAATGTAACCAATGAGTCTGAACAACATGTGTAGTGATTGTTAAATGGGAACCTAACTTGCCTCGTAAACTTTCACCAGAAACACAGTAAAATGAATATTATTTTAAAAAACCTGACTCTGCCTGCCACACATGAGCTCACTGGTTCCCCAAGTCCAGGGACTGAGCACTTCCGGTTCCCACGGACAGCCTGTGAAAAACGCGAAGTCCTGGACCTCTCTCCAGACCTGCTGAGTCAGAATTTGGGGACCAGGGTCCAGGAATCTGTTTTTAATAAGCTCATGAGGCAATGCTTATGTAGCTAGGTTTGGGAACCCATTCTTGCCTTAATAATTAATGCCTTAATAAAGATAAGAAATGGCCTCATTTGTAGAGAAGCTCTGTGACCATAAAGTAGATGCTTAAACAGTTGACCTCAGTGGCACAGGCTGGGGGCAAAGGCTGCAGAAACTGTGTTGAACCCAGGGAGTAAGGCATCTGCAGGGTTGGGACGCATCCATCCTGTTCACAGAATCCGCAAGATCAATATGGCCTCTTAAAAAACGTTCATGGTGATCTAACAGATTAGCAGTAAACAAACAAACTTACATTCTGTTTATTGTCATGACTCGAAACTGTTATTGGTTGTAACTAACTGTCTGTTTTTATGTTCCATCATTTCCAGGCACGAAAGTAACTTGAACAAATCCCAAGGCACAAGGAAGTGGGCCCCGTTGTCTAGGACTCCACAGCACTGGAAATGAAGCTAAGCAGCCTTTATTAAATCCTCCGATTCTGCAACCTTCCGCGACATATTTTCTTACACTCGCGGAAGCCGCTGGGGTTACACTTCAATCACAGTGACTGACAGGCTAACTAACTTCACAACAACAGTGCATCGGCGGCCTTTTCACACCTCCTTGGCCATGGACTTAGAATAGAACCTTTCCTAAACTGTCCCTTGGCCTTGCTGGAAATAAAATTGTAGTTAAAATATTTATCTCGTGTGTCAGCTAACTTACAAACTGATATTTTGGGGTCTCTGCAAGGCAAGACTGAGAGAGACAGTCTCTCAGAACAAGCGTCCTTCCTGTAAACCAAGGGTCTGTTCAGACTGAGGCAAGATTTGGCTTGGACTCTGGTGGGTCAGACAACAGAACAAGAAATGGTCCACTTTCCCGGGGTATATTCTCCCGCCTTGAGCGCCGGAGAGCAGGGCTCGAAGGGCGTGTGATGGCAAACTAACAAATATGAACGCCGTTGACATGACACACCTTGGGGCAGGCTGTCTGAGTGGCGGGCGTGTGAAGACAGGGAGTGAAAAAGCTCCCGATGATGGCTTAGGAAGCCCCCTCCCCGAGCCCCTGATAGTTCACGTCCTTAAGCGGGGATGACAGAAGTGTGCTCTCCTTTGCTCTATTAATGCACGGGGGTTTACAACATACACGGAAGAATGGCACACAGCAACAGCGCTGTTACAAAGACCCAAAACCACGATCTTTCTTTTTCACAAAGAATCCTCTTTGAAATCGCTTTCGGCTTCTGTGCTGCTCGCTGACCCCAATATCATCACCAACATATAGTGCATTAGTTTCCTCTGACTTCTCTAGCAAATTATCAAAACCGCGTGGCTTAAAACAAGAGAAATGTATCCTCCCAGTCCTGGAGGTCAGAAGTGAACTCCTACAGGGCCGTGCTCCCTCCGGAGCCTCTGGGGAAGAATGCCATTCCCTGAACTCTCTCCCAGCTTCTTCTGCTGCCAGCAATCCTTGCCGTGCTCTGGTTTGTAGCCAATCATTCCAGTCGCTGCCTCTGTCCTCACATCGCCACCTCCTCTTCTGTCTGTGAGCCGCTCCTCTGTGTCTCTCATAAGGACACTTGTCATTGGATTTAGGGGGCCCACCCTAAATAATAATCCAGGATGAGCTCATCTTAAGATCCTTAATGTAATTACATCTGCAATGACTTTTCCAAATAAAGTCATATTCACAGGGTCCCGGGACTTAACATGGACATATCTTTGTTGGGCGGGGGCGTAGGGGCAGTATTCAACCTACCACATGCGGCATTTGGTCTTTGATGGTTTCTGATCCCTTACGAGCCATATTTATTGGCAATGATTGATGCTACCTTGTTGGCCCTAGGAAGCCATCTGGTCACCACACCAAGTCTGGGTGGTTTTTTTGTAGCTGAAGGTAAAAGGCACTGCAGTCTGAACAGGGCACACTCAGAACATGAAACGCCAGTGAGGGACAATAGCAAGTACAGGTATTCTCTCTCCAACTCAAGGGCTGCTGGTTTGTGAGCGAGAAGAGACCTAAAAATAATAACATTTCTTCTTCACCCTGGCCGCTGAAACACTGGTCTTCTTATCTCTGGTTTTGCTAGAAAATGTCACCAAGAATGCCCCGCCCCCGCCTCTGATGCTTATTCCACATTTCACTCAGTGATTTGAATCAAAGAAATGAATAAACGCATGGTCACCTTGGAAGAGTTGGTTAAGTCATACCTCAAGCCTACTGCAATTTGTTTTCCATTTTGCAATTAAAACCTGGCAAGAGCCTCATTTCTACCTGTTCATCCATGGATTTGCTCCTTTCTGTCTCTCCCCATAACTTTGCCATGGTTTGGAGGCTATGGGTTCAGGCCTGAAGCTCTACTTCCAAGCCAGCCCTATGAGCCCATGCATAGCTGGAAGGCATGATAACCAAACAAGGACTATTTACGGTGCCTTCAAGGACGTGTTTCAAGCACTACCAAAGCCTGCTGATAAATCGATCTGGGAGAAACCAGCTACTATTCTATTTGCTAAAGCAACAGCCTCAAACATAGCCATGATCCTGAAGATGGCGCAGGACGACGAGGCAACGTTTTGTTCTGTTATCCATAAGGTCGCCATGAGTCAGCGCCAACTCCATGGCACCTCATAACTCCACTTGCTAAAGTGGCTCTGGTTTGCGTGGAGAAAACAAAAGGAAATGAAGAAAATCCTGAAGTCAGAACAAAGTCCCTGGCAGCTGCCTTTTTCTCTGTGATTTCTTCCTGGACACAAATACCCAATCGGTTGTTTTCTCACCCCATCCCCTTTCCCTCTGCCCAAGCTTTAAACCAAGGTCTGGGCATGTGCCGATTTCTTCCAGTGGTCTGTATCTGTTGACTGTATCTCTCCAGCATGCTGGCGAGAGCAGGCGCTAAAAAGTTTGCTGTGTGTTTCTTGTAGGTATGTTTACAAATGTTATTTTATTTAATCCTCATCTCTACACAAAGGTTAAATAACTTGCTCAGTGTCACAAAGCTGGTAGTAAGTAGATTTGGGATTTGAACTCAGGTCTGATCCTCAGAAACTCATGATCTTTGGAAAAGAATCGATAACCAGGGACTCTCAGCAAAGATAATAAATATCGTTTCTAATTTCTCTCCTGAACTGTCTATTGAACTGGCCAGTTCTTTGTAAAAAATGTTCAAAGGGAAAGGGAGAGAGGTACTTAAGAAAAGGTGGGGACTATGCCAACATTTTAAAGGTGAAACCACCTCTTGAATCATGTAAATGAAGGCCAACCGATGGTAATTCTATAACTTAATAACACGTGGGAGGGTGTTACTAAAAATGCTTACTATGACCCTTAGCAAAGGGTTAATGATTACCTATCCTAGAAATAATTCAAAGTAAAATAATTAGCACTGAATTTTACTAAGTTATAGCAATTGAAAATGGGTCAGTACTACCTGGAACCACCACCACTAACCCTCAACCATGGTCATATCCATGTAGTTTATTTCAGCTCCGAAAATAGCTTGACCACCTACTATTCACCAAACTCAAAGGCTATGGGCTCAACAGCCAAAGGTGAGGAGGCCTCTCAAGTATGGCTGGAAAAGTGGGGTAGCCATGAATTGCAGAGCGAGGGGGAGTGGGAAGAGCAGGGCTAGTTTCAGCAAGAATAGAGGTCCTATTCTAGGCACCTAGAACTTTTGTTGTTTTGTTTTTTCTTTCCTGAGTCCTAATAATAATAGATACAGTCAATTCCAACTCATAGTGACCCTTTGGACACAGTAGAACTGCCTCATAGAGCTTCCAAGGAGCCGCTGGTGGATTCGAAGTGCCGACCTTTGCTTAGCAGCTGTAGCTCTGCACCACCAGGGCTCCGTTAGGTAGGTTTTACTTACCCAATATCTATGTGCCAGACATTCTGTTAGGCATTTACAAAACATTATTATATATAAGCCTCACAATAACCAACCAGCCTAAATTTCTTCCTTCCTTTTGTTTCTTTAACAACCATCCAACACCTATTGTGTGCCAGGTGCTGTGTGTACTAGGTGCTGGTACTACAATACTAAACAAAAACATCTGTGAGGTAAACATCATCTTCCTTTTATAAATAAGGAAACTAAGCAAACCCATTTGGGACTTGCTTGAGATGAACACTGAGAAGAGCCCCGTCCTGCCACATGCTACTGCCTGGCTCCTTCCTCTGTGCTGAGGACAGCAAGACAGGACACAAGAGATGCCCTGGGGGCTACCTTACGGCTTTCCTTACAGACAAGCCCAATACACATATCTACTTTCCCCACGTCAAAACTACCCAGGGAAACTCAATTTAGGATGCTGAGACTCATTTTTTGTCAATTCAATGAGAATTCACTAACCCCGTCCTGCGTGCCATCCTGGGGAGCCTGCTCCAGAGCGACTGTGGCTTTCCTGGCTCTTTACTTCACCCTGAAAATGCCCTGTGTCCCCTCCCCGCCTCTCTGCACGTTTTACACACTGTTCTGGGATTGCTCTCTGAGCACCTGTCTAGTCACCTAGCTTGGGTGTGCACATCTCTGCTATCCCATGCATGCTTCCTAACGATCTGAAACAGTGCTCCCAGATTCCAAATGAACCCAACGCGAGTGGTCCATGGTCACGCTTTAGTAAATGGACATCCCATCTTGGCTGCTCATTCACCTGCCTTTCTGATTTTCTTTTCTGCTCTCCCTTCCTTTTCCTTTACTCTTTTTCTTCTCTCTGCCAGAAGCCAGACCCACAAAAACAAGTCTGTAGCCTTGAGAGAGAGTCTAAGGAAGTGCTTCCTAAGCTTTAGCCAATATCAGAATCAACAGTAGGGCTTATTCTAACAGACTGCAGGGCCCCACCACCAATGTTTCTGGTTTAGTATGTCTGGGGTGGAGTCCTTGGGGGGAGCAAACAGTTAAGTGCTCAACTACTAAGACTGATAGTTCAAACCCACCCAGAGGCTCCTCGGAAGACAGGCCTGGTGATCTGCTTCCAAAAGGTCACAGCCTTGAAACCCTATGGAGCAGTTCTACTCTGCACACATGGAGTCGCCAGGAGTTGGAATGGACTGAGGGCAACTAACAAGAGCAACAGTCTTGGGTGGGGCCGAGTCTTTGCATTTCTAACAAGTGCCCAGGTAATGCTGATGCTGGTGGTTCAGGGCTCACACTTTGAAAACCACTGGCCTATAGGGATGATTTTTTTTTTTTTTTTTAAGTAGGGTCTGTCCTAAACAGAATTTGTTCTCAATGCACAGTTTAGCTTGTTTTCCAGGTGCTGCATTTAACATATCTTAGTCTAGAGATAACGAGCTTGCAAGTTAAATCCAATCAGGCCACTCAAGCGTTTCTAGTCAGTTTTTAGAGTTATCTAACACCGCAAAAGACTTCTTGTTTGGGCTAATTAAGTGATTAGTTTAGATCGATAGTAGACGAACAAAGGGAAAAGTGGGGCAGCTACAGCTCACTACCATCTTTGACAAGATGGTGCTAACTTGAGCAAAGAAAACTAGCGTGGGTTTAAAGTCGGTCTTAGCTGCCAAAGACCTCCATCTTTCTATCCTGGAGAAAAGGAGCTCACCCATGATATAGCTGGAATCGAGTTGTTTCCAAAGGAGGCT